ATCATCATCATCATCATCATCATCATCATCATCATCATCATCATCATCATCATAAAGAGGCCTCATCATAGCTCATCATGTGTAAATTACCCAAAAGCCTTTGATAGTCAATGAAACGTACATACTGGTCTTTCTGCGCTTCAGTATACATCTTTCCATTATCATTATTAGGGTGAAGGTAACATTTCAGGCACACATGTCAAAAATAATGCCAACTTTGTGTTTTAGATATATCAGGTCTTAAACTTTTTATGCTTCTTGACAAGAGCACTCTCGGCAATTTTTGTCTTTATTTATCGCATGTATATAACTCACACTCTGTGGCGTCTACTGATGAATTTGGTAAAGCTATAAAATTTAACAAGAATTATCAAATCTTCTAGAATCTCACTATTGCCTTAGATAGAATATAAGGGCTTTGTTGTTATTTCCGTTCCCAAGTCTTTTAATGCGACAATCACTTCAACTTCAATAAACGATATTATCTGGCCCCGTAGCTTTTTCATTCTTCATTTTCCTAACGACAAGCTTGTCTTTCTTCTTTCAAATTAATGGTCCATTTCTTTCTTTCTTTATTCCCGTTTTTTTTTTCTTGTTTTGTCTTCGAAGAGTTCGTCAATGTGTTCTGACCATCAATTAAAAATTATAATATCCTGTATTGGGCATCCTTTTCTTGCTTCTAAATTTAGGAATTTTTCTATCTGTTTTCTTTGTTTTAATATTTATCTATTTATTGACATTTAGCAATTTTTTTCTCCATATTTCTCTTGCTTTATTAAAAAAAATTTCCATATATTTCCCAAGTTAAAACAGAGTGTTTTCCCCAAATATTAAATGTTTGATGTTTCCTGCCTTCTCTCTTCTTTTAATATTCTAATATGTCCTGATAATGTGGAGCTAATGGCCTTGTGGTTAGGTTCTTAGATTGTGGGATAGAATATTTTCTTCAGGGGACTGATGTTGTGTCTTTAGAAAACTATTTCCCTCACTTCACACACACACCCCCCCCCCCTTTTCCCACAGAGCCGGTGTACTGGCGTAACGTGGCCCACGACGAGCTACAGGAGACCCTGGGTCAGAGGAACCCTCTGGGCGTGGCCAAGAACGTGATCCTCTTCCTCGGGGACGGCATGGGCCCCACCACAGTCACGGCCGCCAGGATTCTGGGCGGACAGAAG